TGTTGGTGTCTCAGAAGATGGGCATCTGCCTGGGCACGAAAGACTCGGGCAACTTGAGCTGCAGTGCCAGTAGGTCCTTGTCCTAGGCGGCCTGAGCTGCTGGAAAGAAATGCCACCAGCTGGGTGGCTTAACCAACAGAAGTTGATTTCTCACCCTCCTGGAAGCCTCAAGTCCAAGCAAGGTCCAGGTGGCAGCATTGTTGAGGGCTCGGTGAGTGCCCTGATCCCTGGTTGGTAGACAGTGTTTTTGCTCATCCTCTTATGGAAGAGAGAGATTTAGCTAACTCTCTGGCTTTCTGAATAAAAGCACTGATCTCATTCAGAGGGGCTCCATCTTCATACCTAGTTATATCCCACGGACCCCCACCTCTGAGCACCTCACATGGGGATTAGGCTTTGAATGTAAGAATTTGGGGGTAGGCAAACATTCAGTCCATAACAGTCCTACTAATATGGAGCAGGATATATTTGTTATAATAATCAGGCCAAATGAAATTTCAGTTCTTGGTTCATACAGTTCTCTTCATTTACATTTTTAAGAAAATGAAAAATACTTTCCACCACCACCACCACCACAACAAATTCTTAATACATCGAGCCTGTTATTCTTCCACTTCCTCAGGCAAACTATATGAAACCTGACATTCCTCCAATCCACAGGATAGAAGTTCTTAGAATTCCAAACACAAATACAGAAGCACAGTTATTAGTTTAGCTGAAACATCTGTTTCCAACTTCCTGAAGGAACAGGGGAGGTTGCCAATGTCTACGCGTATTTGAAGCAGGGCTTGTACTGCACACATGGATACAATACACATTTGCAGGAAAGTTCCAAGAGGCCCAAAGTCAGGAAGAAGTAAGTTGATAGAAACATGTCATATAGGAAAATGAGAAAGAACTTCTAGTCTCTAAAAGGGAGCCAAGATCACCACTTAACGGTCAATGTAAACCAGGTTCTGGCCATTTGACCTGATATCAACCGGATGCTCCTCCTTGGATGACATCATCTCTCAGAAAGGAAGGAAAAACTCTACTTGGCAGAGAGTGGAGTAGGACTCTGCGTTGGATATAAGAACCCACATTTCTGAAGTTTGCCTTCTCTTAATTTTACTAATCTCATCATTTCCCCTGTGCTTTTGGAAAAGGTCCTTTATCATTCCATCATTCTAATCTCGACCGTCTTACCTGCAAAGCGAAAAATGCTGAAAGGAATTGGGTCAAGGTGGCTGGGTTCCAGATTTCTTGAAATGATGATATGTTTTAAGTCAATAAACAGACACTAGATCTCTAGAGGGTTAAGAATGCAACCCATCTTTCCAACACAACACTCTAATCATCTGAAGTTAATCATCTGTGACTTATTAAAATATCTACATTTTAGGTAGAGATTTATAGGTGAAACGACAGGTAAAAACTATTCTCTAACCTGGAGGAAATGAATCAGAACAAAATATAAAGTTTGAGCATTCAAAGAATCCTTGTTGGATCCTGCTAATCCATTCAGCATGAGGACAGATCAAAAAGAATCTTAGCCTCATACTTCACCTTGTTTCTCAGCTTGCTAGATCATAAAAAAAAATGCCACTGGCATCGATTAATTAGTTTATATAGGCAAATTTCACTAATTTTTCTGGACTTTAAACTTTCTTAGTAATGAATAAAAAGAAAATAATGGCCACAGTCGTGGCAACCATCCTGACAGTTATTATATAAAATGAATAAAGGGAAGATCTTGCACATTCCCTATAGTAAATGTCAGGTTAAAAAAAAAAAAACAGATAGCTCTCCTAGGCGGTAGAATTGCCTTTGCAAAACAACTCCTTTTAATGAAATGTGGTCTAATACCAGCCTGCTTTCTAGATATTTTCAAGTGACTTTTCTTGGTATGCCTATCATTAGCTTCAAGCACTTAGGTTATACTGGACCCTGCTCACCGTCTTCTAAAAGCCAAAATTATATCCTGGACAGAGAATCCTAAGAACTGTTTATCTGGGTTTATCTGGCCCTTAGTCCACTCACTGAGAAGCATCAGATTTTCTTGAGGCCTGCTGATGTTGTCTGGGAAAAGAAACATTTAAGGTGAGAAATTTGAGATGAAAAATAATGTTAAAAAATAATGTTTTTTTTTTTCTCAAGGGTTACGTGAGAAAAGGTACAGAGCAGTCAGTCTGTGTTGTGACTGATCCCCCAAGGTGAGCTGAGGTGGCACCTGGCCAGCCACCTGGGAGGGAATCCGTTAGATGTCTTGATGAGTGCATGGAAATAGAAGAGGAAGATGGGCTTGGGGGTTGAATCTACCTTCTTCATGAATCTCTTCAAAGTTACAGAAGCCCACGTGATTCTAGGAAGTAACATCCTTTAAGATGTCTGTATCTTCACAAATAATTTTTACCAAGATTTTCAAGTAATTGTGCCGGTGATGCAAATAGGAGGCTTATAATCCCATCAACTCCCTTCCAATGTTGGTAGACTTTTGAAGGAAGTGGACACAAACATATTCTGGAAGTTTCCTCAGTACAGAAAAAAGAGCAAAGGGGCCTAAGTCATGGGAGGGATGATGTTGTTGATGTAGTTAACGCAGGGATGGCTCACGATGGGGTGTGTGGCTTCCGAGATACTTAGTTCAATGTAATTAGTTATTATTTAGACAGGAAGTGACCAATTCAAATACTTTACCAAAGTTGAGATAAATCTTCTGATTGGTGCTTGACAAGTTTGAGTTTCTAATACTTGAAGATGTTTGTGACATGAATCTATAGGGCCCAGATGAATTATTAGGAGCCTTTGTCCTTTCTTTTCACGCTCTTTCTGGATGATATATTTTCAGTCTCAATCCATCTCTTGCTTGCGTATTGTCCCCCAACATCAGACCTGTGTACACAATCGTCTCCACCTGGGTGTCCCACATGCGCTTCACACAGTGAGCTCAAAATTAAAATGTAGCTAGTTCTGAGAAATCACTCTCATCATTCCAAATATTTTTTTTGGGGGGGGGAATAATTAGAAGAAGAAATGACTTCATTTCCCAGATATCTCTAAAGCCAAGGTTATGGGTGCAAAACTATGAAAACTTTGGTGATATTTGGCATTCCTAGGGATACAAAGCCAATGGTATGGGTTTTTCTTTACAGTGAATTGTCCTAGACTACCTCAGCTTAGATCCAGTTTCTTGAGTCCCTCTAGGAAATTTGCAAGCACCTACTTATTTTATTAAACATTGATTACTTTAAACTAAGTGGTGTGAATTCTATTTTCTTCAACCGAATCAAGACTGTACAATATTAAGATTTCAAACCTGCTTCTTGTGATGCATTTCTGGCTTTACTAAATGGCCTCCCCACCCAGAGACATGCATCTATAAGGCTATTAACTTTCAAGACTCAAATATAACTCTATCTCCCCCAGGAAAACCCTTCTTTTCTTCTCTCTGGCATGGATGTGACCAGTTCCTTTTTTTGTGCCAGCTGTCTGCACTCGTACCATCATACTCTAATTATACAAATTTGTTCTCATATCATTTTTTTTCCATTGCACTACCAGGGAGTAAGGACTCACCGTGTTTTAGTTGGCTAACTAAAACAATTTTTAAACATGAAAAGGCTGTTGCTGCCTGGCTAACAACAGGCCAGGTATTTTGAGAAGTTACCCCAAAGGGTATTCGACACATAAAGCAATCCCACCTCTCATGTTCTTTCTCGTCACAATCTTGTTCACAAACTTGTTTGCACATTTGCATCCTGATATCAAGCCCCTAAAGGTGAAGAGAAAGTTACCAACCTCTGCATTCTGCATCCTGCGCATGTAACACAGGATCTGGAAACTATGATACAATTTTGAATAAATAAATAAACACATCCTCCCAAATGTCACATGCATTCATCCACCAAGGTTCTCTTGAGAGTATTTATGAGATTGGAGTCCAAAAAGTTACTGTGATGTGAATGGATTTGTGGTGGGCTCTAGTGATATGGCTCCCCCCAACCCTAATTCTCCTGCTGGTCCCACCCCTGTGGTCTGTACATGAGAGCCGTAACCTTAGACTTGCTTTTAGTGAAGAGAAAATGACAAAGGGGTGGGAAGCTTCTTCCAGAGTTCGGTACTAGGAGGTTGGGGTTTTCTGGCTCCCTCTGCCTGGCTGCATGACACATCAATTTTGATGAAGAGAACAACCTGCCAAGGAACTGAGAGGTCAGCTTCCTGGCCACAGCCAGCCTGGAACTTACGCCCACAGGCTCTTGTCCCTAAGGAGCTGAACCTGCCAACAGCCTCTGAGTGTGGAAGCACATTCTGCCCCAGTGAACCCTGAGGGGACTGCGGCTCTGTGTGACACCTTGATTGCAATCTTTAGGAGAGAAGCTGAGGGCTCCAGGAGGACCCAGCTAAGCTGTTCTCAGAGCACCAACTTGCAGAAACCCGGGGATAACAAGTGGGCATTGTTTTAAGTCACTAAGTTCTTGAGTGCTTTTTTTTTTTTTTTGGTACTAGTGAAGTAATGCAGTGTTCATGTGTTTTGCACAAAATTAAAGGATAGTAAAAAGATATTCGTGCCATGGTGGGTTTCGGTTTTGTTCTGGCCTGCTAATCACTGCAGAGACCCAGCGTGTGGAAGGACATGGGGTGGTCCCACAGCAGTGTTGAAGAAACTGACTTTTAGAGTGAGGCCAAGAAGGCTGTGTACCAGTGTAAGCTGCACCGTTATGATTTGAATGTTGACAAATTTTCAAATTGTTTTGTATGAATATTGTGTCTCTTATAGCTCTAAGGATCCATGAGGGGAAATGTGTGATGATAATTCCTGACTCAGAGATTTCTCGACTATCAGAGCTTGAGGAGATATTTGTTTGATGACCTGGGGTTCATAGGACCCTTGAAAAACACTGCAAATTTTTTGCATTCTGTCTCTGAAGAAGCCATTCATATAGTTTGTAAATACTCAAGGAATGGTATATTTATAACACATGTTTTAAAATACTGATTTATTTTCCCCTCTTATTTTGCAGCTAGAAGAGCAATTTATGAGGAGAAATCCACATTGCCCCATATAGCTAGCTGGCCGCTGACTCAAGGCAATATAGATCTTCCAATTACCACTCTCCTGCTCCTGATGTTGACCGGGGATTCTTTTTCTATTTTTAAATATTGTCAACCTGTAAAATCTGGAAGGCACACGGACAACAGCGTCTTCCTAATCTGATAAATACTTCCAGCATTCACATGCATGTCTGTCAGGTTCCTGTTAGTACCAGACACTTCTAGGTGCTGGGATACAATCCCTGTCTGTGTACAGCATAGGGATTAATGGAAAAGAAAAAAACATTAACATCCTATCAGAAAGTTCCCTGTAACTGAGAGTGGACGTGCCCAGTGCCCGCAGTGCCCAAAGCAGAGCACAGAAATTAGCTTTCATAGGAAATGACATTTAGAATATGAGATTCTACCCAACAGAATGCAATTATCTCTTTGAACACCGACCAATAAAGCTCAATTCCATTGTGATAATATTTTTATTTGCAGTTTATTTTAAGATTGTCATTAATCATTTGTTTAGACGGTCACAAGACTCCCTAAAAAAAATGAAAATTAAAATATGTATGAGTGGCCTTCTGAAAAATTACCAGGAGAATAAAATTTTGCAAACTATCCATATCACGAAGGATGAATTATATCCCTTATTGCCTGTTTATTTATAAATAGAATATTCTATTTATAATTGTCAATGAATGACAAGCATAGTTTGAACAGTTTAGCAATACACATAAAAAATATAAACACATTTAAGGATGTGTGTGGCAACAATGAAGATATTTACATTTAAGAGAATAAAGATAATGAGGAAACATTTTGATTAAGAATTGTTAGTCTGATTTACCCTTAAAGATTACACATGAGTCAAAACATCATATGGTCTTCCATAAATATATGATTAGTATATTTTTAATGTACCAGTTAAAGTAAATTTTAGTAAGAAAACAAATATAGAAAATGAAAAAAGTAGGTTTATAGCTAGATTCATTAAAAATAACCTGAAGTTAAATAAATACAAATCAGACTAATTTGCTGTCATATGGAAAAAATGGATTTGTCTTTAATTTCAGTAGAAATAACATGCCAATATAAACATAGATTGTCTAATAAGATAAATTGAAGAAATTTGATATAGAGCTGAAATAATTCCCTAATAGATGGCATGTGATAAAGTTAGACATTGTCATAGACACCATGTCACTTATCTCAAAATTCAATTCCAGTGCTCAGAATGGCATGGAGGCAACCTTTTGTAGACAGAGGGTGATAAAAACTGGTCTGAGGAAAAGAAGCAGTCACTCAGGAGGCTGTGGCAAGTCACAGATGAAGGCCCCTGGACATATTCAAAGGGAAAACGGTACAAACTCAGATGTAGACAAAAATCTACACAGTAACTTCCCGATTCATATTCCCTATCATGTGAGGGTGCACATGTGAAATATGAAAGCTGTCAGTGTTTCTAATTCTATCAGAAGAGTTTCAAATCTCTGTCATATTTGGGTTACAGCATCTACAAATCCAAATTGCTGCAGGCAAACTGTGTTGGTAACTTAAATATCATGAACAGCATGTGCCTCGAAGAGTGAATGACTTGTAGTAAATATTTAAGGAACTAGATAAAATGTTCCCTAATTTATGCAGTTTGGTTCTTGGAAAATACTATATGTTTTATGTTTATAGGAAAAAAATGAGTTAGAGGATAGACTGAGATAATTTTATATTTTATTTACATTACTGTCGAGAAAGATTTCCTTTATGTTTGACCCTCTTCCACCAAATAAAATCCCAAAGTGGTTTTATTTGAAGAAAATTATTTCAGGAAAATTAGCAGAAATGGCATTGGAATAATTATTTTTTAATAATGTTAGTGCTGTAAAAATAAAAATGAGTGAGGTTGTTTTTGATAACTTCAATAAAGGAGACCTAATAGTTGTTTTTGAAAATTAATGTTTAGAAATAAAGCTAGTAAGAAAAGCACGACTCGCCACGAAGTTGATAGAATCTACATGCTAATGTTAGTTTTTTTTTTTAGAGAGAGAGAGAGAAAGAGAGAGAATTTTAATATTTATTTTTTAGTTATCGGCGGACACAACATCGTTGTTTGTATGTGGTGCTGAGGATGGAACCCGGGCCGCACGCATGCCAGGTGAGTGGGCTACTGCTGGAGCCACATCCCCAGCCCTAATGTTAGTTTTTTAAAATAAAAAAACTTACTTTTTCACCTTTATTTTTTAAAACAATTTATTCTTAATCAACAAATGGATATTGTTTATATCTATGGTGTACAACATTGACATTTTGAAATTTGTAGAGATTGTGAAATGAGTAGATCAAGTTCATTGGCATGCGTTCCGTTCCCTTTCATCCTCACCACTATCTCTTTGTGGTAAGAGGACTTGAAATCCACTCTCTGAAAGTCAAGGATGTAGTCACTATCTTAACTTAGGTTTTCTTTTTGAGCAACCCATTTTCTTCTCCCATTTCCTATTTCATGAAATGCTGCCACCTTTCACCCAGTTTCTCCAGCCAGCTCCTGTGGTATTGAACACTCTTTCATTTTTTTTTTTAAAGCTTCATTTAAGTATAATTGATTCTACTTATTTAACGTGTACAACAATATTTTACTATATATTTCAGGTAGGTTAGGCTAAGCTCTACTATTTAATAGATTAGATGCATTGGGATATATTTGTGGCTCATGACATTTTTAACTTACAATGGATTTACCAAGTCATAATTCCATCAAAAGTTGAAGAACAACTGTAAGGACTGGTTATTTTAAGATTTAGAGAGGAAAAAAAATCAAAGTTGACCTCTGGTCACGGAGTGTGGCAAGGTAGTGGTATGTACATGACGTACGTACATATGTATGTCCTACAGCTGAGAGAAATGTTCTAATAACCACAGTGTGAGGAAGACTTTACATGTAGCAAAAATGGTCATAGATGGTGGTTTTTAGGAAATAAATTGACAAAGATGAGAAGCCACAGATGGAAAAGTGACCTGGTAGTCAGATAGATTCAGATTTCTGAGGTTTTCCTGAAGTATATCAGATTTTTTTCTATGAAAGAAAATTTGCAATTTGTGACATTGTACTTAAACATACTGAGGAATAATCAAGTCCCCAGAGAAATGCATAATCAAATAAAAAGGAGGAAAACAAACAAACAAAAATCTCAGCTTCTATTTTTCCTATTTATTTTGGTTGGGTTTTCTCAGACTGTTAATGGGTTCATTGGCCATGATTTTATTTATTTATAATATGCTGTCTCAGATTATTTAATTGATTTATTTTGATGAGTTTGTTTATTCATAATAGATGGTCCTGCTTTTTCCCAAAAAGGTAGAGTCTATAACTGAAATTATTAATGGATGTGAAAAATGGAAAAAAACCAACAAATTTTAGAAAGAGAAATTCAGCAGAAAATTTCGATGAAACAACTTCACTGGAAACCCAGGAAGCCCTAATTGCTTCAACCAAGGAGCTCCTGGGATGAAGCGTTGCGCAGATCCGTGGAGCAGGAGTGCACACTTCTGTGCCATCTGTGGCGACTTAGTCCACATCTCTAAGAATCAGCTTTACTGTATGAAAATGGAGTTAGTCAGGTGTCCACCTGCATTTGGCATTTGGTAGCTGGGAGGAGGAGAGCATGTAGGTCATCCTTGGTACCTCACACAAAAAACAGTGAACACTTCAGGAATATCACCCATTGCCCCTGCTGCTGCCCCTGCTGCTGGTGCTCCTCCTCCTCCTCCTCTTCTTCCTCCCTTCCTCTTCCTTCTTCCTTCCTCTTCCTTTTTCTCCTTCTTCCCTTTCCTACCACTTTTCTTATTAATAAAATTTAGACTTTTGCAAGAAATGAAGAAAAATATGTATTGAGTAAATAATTTTTATCGATTACTGTCTGGGCCCTGAATATATATTCCCCCCCCAAAAAAATGTCTCTTTTTCCTGGAATTTACATTTACATTCTTCCTTAAAACAGAGAATCATGATTCCATTTACAAAAGGTTTCAAGTGCATAAGTTACTTCGTGTGCAGGGGCTAGCAGTGTCTGTGATTCTTCACACGGTTCTTACCACCGTTATCTATATCATATTGGCATTAGTAATGGCAACATGGTAGTAGCTGCAGAGAAAGGTGTAATCATCGCAGCTGTGGTTACAGCCATTGTCTAGTGGCCTTGTTAATTTCCTCAGCATGAACATTATACCAGAGTATAGTTCAGGAATGACTAAAGACTCAATTTCAGACAAAGCACTTCGCACAATAATCCTTAGATGGTAACTAATTATATTGGAAGACTAAAAGTTCCAAGACACCACCTCTGATACTCTTGAGGTTTTTTTTGGTGGGCATTTTCCACAATTTGCACTTCTGAAGACTTCCAGATTGGGAGGACCTATTTGCCACCAGAAAAGTGTGTAGAGGGTGTCAAAATGAAATTAAATTCTACCACTGAACACATAATCATGTTCAGTATACTATGCTAAGCACTTTACATGATTTCATTGAGGCTAAGAACCCCACCACTCTGCAGTACCACTATTACCTGTTTCAATATCTGGGGGAACCGAGACTCAAAGTAACTTGTCTAGGGTCAGAGTGTTAGTAATCTTGGGATCATTAACAATATTGCTACTGATTTGACTTTGAACCATGAGACGCTGAATTCCCCATTACAGTGTTGCTTCTCAGGTTTACCCATGAAGCTGACACTTGTCATTACCGGAAAAGTAATGCTATTCTTTGCACAATACTTGTCTGACACTGTCACTCATGTTATAGTGACTGTTGCATTAATTAGGATGGCTAGCTCTTAGCTACTAAGACAAACTGTAAAGATAAATGGCTTCACATTATAGGAATACACTTCGGTTTTTCCATGAAGCTCACACAGTGGCCCAGGATCCAGGTCCCGTGTTCTTTTATGCTGTCCCTCAAAATCTTCTGCAGCATTGTCTGCAGGAGCAAGAAGCTGAGTGACAAAAAAATTAAAAAAAAGAAGAAGAGGAAGAAGAAGAAAGAGGAGGAGGAGGAGGAGGAGGAGGAGGAGGAGGAGGAGAAGAAGAAGGCCTCGTACAGAGGTTTTTATGTTTCAATTCTGGATGTAGCAGCACCACCCAGAACTTACCAAATGATGCATTTGTTAGGCAGGCTGGGAAGGATGTCTAACTGAGCATACAGAAGAAATCACCACCACTTGTTGTAGTCTGAATATTTGTGTCCCGCTAAATGCATGTGCTAAACCTAGGATAGTATTAGGAGACAGTAATTGGGAGGTGACTAGGGTTCTTCCTTCATGAACCTGATTAATATACATATAAAGAAGGTCCCAGAGAGCCAGGCAGCCCCTTCCACCATGGGAAGACACATTAAGAATACACAATTTATGAGAAACTATGTGCGAACCAGACACCAAATCTGCTTGTACCTTGATATTGAATTTTCTAGCCTCTAGACCTTTGACAAA